CTCTTTGTTGGTGTATATCTGCAATGGACAATTATTCAGCTGTAAGAAAAGAAGTCCTGCCTTTTGCACAACATGGATGGACCTTTGAGGCCATTGTGTGAAGTGAAATAAGTTAGACAGAGAAAGACAAATACTGTATGTTCTCACTTATACATGGAATTTCAAAAAGCCTAACTCATAGAAATAGGGAGTGGATTGATGGTTCCCAGGGGCAGGAGGGTGGGGGAAATGAGATGTTGTCCAAAGGGTACAAACTTCCAGGTAGAAGATAGATAAGTGCTCGGAATCTAACGTACAGCATGGTGACTATAATGAACAATACTGCATTATATACTCGAATTTATTAAGAGAGTAGAACTTGTATATTATCACAACAACAACAAAGGTAATTATGGGAGAAGATGGAAGGGTTCACTATCCTTATTGAGGTAATCATTTTGCAGTAGATACATGTATCAAATCATGTCATGGTGCATCTTAAAATTATGTATGTTATATGTCAATAATATTACAATAAATCTGGAAAAATGATATGGGGGTGGGAGGGGCAAGCAAGTAATAAAGAGAAAAAATTATTGTCCCATTTATTTTTAGCAGATTGTCAAAAGGAGCTGTGCCTTTATTTAATTACTTCATTCCTGGCACTTTGGCGAGCATAATGAGAGATGAAGAATCCACTTCAATTTAAAAATTCAGTCACAACAATTTCTAATTAGAAGATTAAATAATCACGTGTGACCTGATCCTTCCAGAGATGTTTAAAAGGACCAGTGGTGACTTGAATTTCAGCAAGATGGTAGACTAAATATCTGGAGATACCATCTCAGTTCAGAAAACTTTTGGACTGAGCAGTATTAAAAACATCATATGTCAAATTTGGAAAATGCTGAAAGAGCAGGATTTGGAAAGAAATCTAAATTAATGCCTATAATAAAAAAAGAGAAAGATTTAGGACGAATAAGCATCAAATTTAGGAAGTTAGAAAAAGAGTACAAACAGAGAAAGGAAAAAAAAGTAGAAAAAAAAGATAAGAGCTGAATTAATGAAACAAGAAGTAAACATACACTAGAAAGGCTCAAAAAAATCAAAAAGACAGTTCCTTGTAAAGTCTGGTAAATTGACAAACCATTTGCAAAACTGATTACAGAAAAAGAACATGGGAGACACGGACAGAAAGAGAAGGTCTGAGACACAGCATTAGGAATAAAAATGAGACTATAGGTGCACGAAAGATTAAACAAATATTAAATAGATATTATAATAAGCTTATACCAATAAGCTAGCCTAATTGTTAGAAATGGTATTAGAAAAATAGGAATTATCCCAAAAAGTCAATTTAGAAAGTTTTTTTATTGATTCCGCATACATTGCTTTAATGTAATACAGGACATTTAGGTTATTAAATATTGAAACATTTACACACTGGCTTTGAAGAGCCCCAGTCTTGATCCCCAAGTACAAACTGGGCCGGTTTTGTCCCTTCCCCAAGACCGTATAAGCCTGCCCACAACCTATCAACTGAAGATCAGTTCTGGGTACCATAGGCCTACAGATCCCGTTTCATGTGTATTTGTTGGCATCTATCCTGACTAGTCCAGTGCCTGATCCAAACCACTAGCAGAAATTCTGTCACTCCTATCTATAGCCATTAATTAAAATGAATACTCAATTAAAAAGTCTGCTCATCAAAAACACACCAGGTCCAGATGGTTGTATAGATGAATTCCATCAAACATTTAAGACATTGGTAAATTCACACAATGTTTCACATATTTCTTCAAAGACTTAAAAGGAGGGAATATTGCCTAATTCATTCTATAGGAATAATCTAGGTACAAATTCAAGATGAAACAAGAAAATTATGAATATGCAAAAAGCACAGGCCAATTTCATTCACAAATTGAGATGAAATATTATTGAATACAGCATCAGAAAACCAAATTCAGCAATGTATAAAAAGACGATACATCATTAACAAATTAGACGTGTTCCAGAAATGCAACACAATTTCAGTATAAGGAAGTGCATTAATGTGATTCACCATATTAAAAGGATAAAAAAATCACTTCAGTAAATACAGAAAACTGATAAAATTCAGCTGATATTCATGATTTTTTTAAAAATAGAATCATAGAAAACTTGGAATACATGTAATTTCCTTCATCTGGTAAAAGGTAAGTGCCAAAAACTATAGCAACTCCATATTTCATGGAGATTATTAAAAGCATTCTCTTTTAAATTATGAATAAGATTTTAAAAGCCTACTGTCACCACTTCTAGTCAACATAGTATTGGAACCTAGACAGCTCGATTTGACTACAGGAAAAAAAAACATAATAAATACAAGAATTGGAAAAAAGGAAACTGAACTGTCATTATTTTCAGATGATATGATTGTCTACATAGGAAATCAAAAAAATAAAGACTAGTTACTAGAATTAATAAAATAATTTAGCAGTGTTTCCCACAATAAGATCAATCTATAAAAATCAATCGCATGGCTGTAAGGAATATGAAGGCATTAGAAAATATTTTATGTGTGTGCTTATGTGTACTATTTATGATGATAAAGAGGACAAGGAAAAAATGCATTGAAAAGTATGAAGACCAAACCTTTATGGAGAAAATTAGAAAGTATTACTGAAGGACATTAAAGAAATCTTAAGTAGGTGGAGAGATACATCTGATTCACTCATGGATATAAATTCTCTCTCAAATTAGTTTTTGTATTCAGTTTGATTCCAAATAATATTGCACAAATTTCTTTCAAGCTGATCCTAACATTTATACACAAGAACAAAAAATCAAGAATAGCCAATACATTAATGGAGAAGAAAGGACGAGATTGTGAATCTGACTATAATCAAGAATTATACTCTGAATCATTTTGCTGTATACCTGAAACTAACACGACTTTGTCAATCAACTATCCTTCAATTTAAAAAAACACCAAAACAAACAAACAAAAAGAATTATACTAAAGTCAGATAAAGACAGTGTAGTTCTGGGATAAGCTACGATAAATAGACAAATGCAATCAAATGGAGAGTCCCACATTCTTAGAAACTTAATATATGACAGAACTGACTTGGCAAATCAGTGAATAAAGTAAATTCTATAGAATAAGTAATGTGGAGACACTTGGTCATATGAAAAAAAATGGAAATTTAATACCTATTTCCCACTCTTTGAAAGTATTAGTTGCTAGAGCTAGACTTACTGACCTAAATGTAAAAGGCAAAATGTGTAACTTTGAGAATAAAATGTAAGAAAAGACTTCTGTGACTTCAAGGAAGGAAAAGTTTTCTTAAACTAGGCTCAAAAGGAAAAATCGTAAAGAAGGAAATTGATAGATTAAACTATATTAAAGTTAGAACTTAAACTCTTAACAAAACATACCATAAAGTGGAAGAGGCAAGCCACCATCTAGGAAGAAATATTGGCAACACATATAATAACAAAGGACTTGTGTTCAGGGAAAAGAAAGAAACCCTACATTTCAAAAAGAAATAGAAAAAAAAAATCCCAATAGGAAAATTGGCAAAAGTCATGAACACGCATTTTCCAAAAGAGAAAACACCAGTGGTCGATAAACATATGAAAAGAGAATAATTTTATTAGTAATCTGAACTGTGAACTAAGATCCCAGTGAGATACAACTACACAATCAACAAATTAGCAAAAATTGAAATGCTGGGTAAAACCTGAAGTTGACACGAATGTGTAATGAGAAGTTTTAGACCCTGCTGATTGGAGGATAAAGGGATCCAACTACTTTGAAAGATAAGTTGGTAATAAACACCTCGGAAACCTGAAGGTGCATAGACCCATCAACTCTGCCCCAGAAGATGTACAAGATTGTTCAGCAAAGCAATGCTTGTGACCACAAAAAGCTGAAAACAACACAAATGCCTTAGTGTTAAAAAGGATAAACAAATTGTATTACGTGAAAAACGGGGAATACCATACGGTAAAATGAGTGAATACAGCCCTATGTAAACATTCAGGTGAATCTCAAAAATACAGTACTGAGCAAAGCATTCAAAATCACAAGATGTTTGCAGCCTGACTTCATTTATATAAGAATCAAAAACAGAAGGAAGTAAATAATAGATCATGCAGGAAGACACACGTGTGTGAAAGCAACGAGAATGATTAAGACCAAACCCCGTAAGATTGTTTATTGTCTGTGAGTCTGTGTCTGTTTTGTGGATAAGTTCCATTAGTATCTTCTTTTTTCTGTGGTTCCTGGGGGGAAAGGGGTGGGAAGGGATAAATCTGGAGTTCAAGATTTATAATTAACTACTAATATATAAAAATAGATTTAAAAAAACAAACTTCTTCTGTACAGCACAGGAAACTATATTCGATATCTTATAGTAACCTATAATGAAAATGGAAAAGACTATGAAAAGGAATGTATGTATGTATATGTATGATTGAAACATTATGCTGCACACCAGAAACTGACACACTATAACTAACTATATACTTCAATTAAAATAAAAAAATAATAATTTTAAAAAGAGCAAATCCAGACTATGGTTAGCCCAAGCAGGGAGAGAGGCAACGTAATCTGTGAAGGGCACACAGAATGGTAAGAGGTACTGGTGTTATCTTATTCTGTGTGCAGTCTGATGGGTACATACGGGTTTATTTCAATATTTTTCTCTAAATTCTAAGTATATGTTATATAGACTCTATGGATGATGTATTTCACCATAAAAAAATTTTAATATCATGGAAATCCCATGTTGAAAATATTTTAGAAGTCTCAGAAGAAAAGCCCCGTGGATTGCATATCAAGACATAGTAATTCTGTGTAAGGAATAGGCTGAGAGGCAATGTGCAGAAAATACAGCTCATCCAAAAGAACCTTATTACACAGACTGGGCGACCAGGCGCAGAAGTGAAATGCAATTTTAGAATAGCCTAAATCCTGGAATAAAAAAAGAAAAGATTAAAAAAAATATGGTTTCAGAGAGGAAATACAAACTTACATTTGAGTGAGAACCTTTTGTGCGATGAAACCACAAGGATGAAAACGTCCATGGGTCTGTCTGCAGACACTGGCGACACAGCTGCGACCTCCTCCCCAGGACAGGGCATCCAGCTCTTGCCCTCGAACGAGAACCCTGAGAGGCCTGGTCTGGAAGACGGGAGAAGTGGGTAATTAGGAGTCCAAGGGAGTGGGTTAATCCACAGCTGGTGGAAATCAACCCAACGACCACGAAGACAAAGAGAAGCGGTGCGGGGGGTGGGGCTGAAGTGCAGACAGAGAGACCAAGGAGGAAAGGAGCTGAGAAAATGAAACCAAACATGCATATAAATTAAGCTTTATTAGAATGGAGCCACGGTTCTGATTCTTTTAATACTGAGCTATCGGTTTGATAGATTCTTACAGCCGGAAGAACTTGGGGTGCAGGAAGGCAGAGGTTCCTTGTGCTCTGGACAGAGAGTGCTGTGGGGCTTCCCGCACTCTTTTCTTCCTTCCCTGCCCGGGTCCCCCATCCACCAAGAAAGAGATGTGTCCATTTTGTCTCCATGGAGCCCCTGAAACCACGCACGCTGAGAAGCAAAGGTCTGAGCCGGAAGCTTCAGCGATACAGTGTCACCTACACTGATCCAGCTTATAGACTTGACCATTAAGAAAACACTTCTTACTGTCAAATGCAACAGACTGAAATACATTTTGCTAAAGAGGGTGTTTTACCACTAAGAGCTAAATGGGCCACGTTTCTGAAAGATCCTCCCATAAAGTGTAGGAGGAATTAAAGGCAGACTATATCAACATTTCCGGAAGATTAATGAAAGACTGCAGAATGTGAAATGCGAGGTCCTTAAACGAGTCTGGGAAAAGAGACAACGGAACAAAGGGTTGAGGGAACTGGGGTGAAATCCAGAAAGAACCCTCACCTCCTCCACTGAGCATCAGAATGACAGATGACGAGAAATCGACTGCGACACGGGGCTTCCCCAAGGAAAGGAGAGAAGTGGCCCGGGGGAGACAGATCATCCTGGGGGCCCATGGTCAGGGCCGGGCGCACGAAATGATCTGTTCTGTGCTGTATCTTCCATCTTTAATGTCTCACTCCTGTCTAACCGAACCAACTATCTATCTTACACCAGGACATTTCATCAAAGATGTGTCATTCCTAGGGTGGGCAAATTGACCTTAGAATAAAATGAAAATTCCAAATTTACTCAAACAGTCAAACAGGAGCTCCTTTCCCAGGGAGGCCTTCTTAATACACCCTGACCAGTTCCTAATATTTTCTAGAGGAGGTTGGACGGAGTAAGGGGGCAGAGACGCAGGGTAGGGGATAAATTTGTTTTGCTTTAAACATAGATAAATAATATCTTGGATTTTTTGGGAGGGAAGGTGCATTTTTCTATTGAAGTGTAGTTGATTTACATTGTTGTGTTAGTTCAGGTGTACAGCAAAGTGATTCAGTTATACATACATACATATATATATATATATATATATATATATATATTTTCAGATTCTTTTCCATTATAGGTTATTACAAAATATGAATACAGTTCCCTGTGCTAGACTGTAGGTCTTTTATGTTTATCTATTTTATAGATAGCAGTTTATCTGCTAATCCCAAACTCCTAATTTATCCTTTCCCCCCCTCCCTGCTTTGGTAACCATAAACTTGTTTTCTATAACATCTTAGATTTTGATACAACAAATATATACACACACACACACACGTACATACGTATATATATCCATGGGCTTATACGGTTAGAATTTCTGATAAACCACATTGGACTATTAAAAAAAAAAACAAATTTAGGGCAGTTTTTGAAGTATTCCAATTTCTATCTTTATTTTTTTTCTGAATACAGAAGAGAGAAATACCTCATAATAGTCTTGAAGAGCAGAGAGCAAATGGTAAGTAAAAGTGCTTTGTTAGTGTAAACAGTAAAACCTTCACTTGTAAAGAACGTCTTTGGAGTCCAGACAACATACACATTGCAATAGTTTAACTGCACCATAAACCTCCTTTCTAAAGCATGCTCGGTGAGGTAGTTAGGTTCCTAAGTGATCCAAAACAGTACCGCCACACGAGGGCTGCTTTCTGCCTGTTACACAACACGCTAAGCACTTATGCCTTCCTTGCTAAAACCCCCTGGAACAGACATTATTTCCACCTTCATTTTCCAGGGGAAACACAGACGCTCAACAAGATTTGCTCATTTGCTCAAGGTCAGATAGTGAACGTATGGTGAGGGGATTCCAACCTCGTCCTGCCACTCCATAACTCTGTGACCTTGGGAGAGTCCTTGGTCAAAAGACAATGGCACCTTCCTCTTGGGGTTATTGGGGTGGGGAGAGGGTTACTTGAAATAATAGACATAGAGGACTTGGCACTAAGTAAAGAGACAAAAAAGTTAACTTTTATGCTCATTAGGTATAGAAATATTTGTGTCTGGAATTTGGCTCACATCAGTATTAACCTGTGGACGTTTTAGAAAAATACATAGCCTTGCGCTCCGCTCCAACTTGGTCTTACTGAGTCAGAATCTCCAGGAGTGGGCCCATGAGCTGGTTTTTGAAAAAGCTTCCTCCCAGGGGATTCTGTTACAGTGGGTGCAGAGCCTGGTATTGAAAAGCTGTTGTTATTGGTATTTGGACTAAAGAAAGTCAGTGAAAGACCATGAGGCTGCGATGGTTGGAGTGTGCTTCCTGCAGACGTGGGCCAAACCTGCCCCTTTAGGATGCAAAAGATGTGGGCAGGTTGAACTCAATCAACACACACCGCCCAGTAACCAGCTGCCTGGTCACGAGCCCTGGCTCCTCTCTCATGATGTTGGAGCCTCTTCTGAATGTCCTGAGCAGCAGCTGGGAGATAAAGATCTAACCCATGCTGCCGCTCCTCCCATGTACGCTGCGGCTGAGTTAGGATTTCTTGGGCTCAGAAGATTACTGTGGGCAGGAGGTTGTTGTTAGCCAATTCAGAGTGCTCGTGATCCTAAAATTCCATCTCATATTCACACTAAGGTCGGGGAAAGGTGCAAATTCTCTGCTGGCTCAGTACCCCCACCTAGACAATGAGAGGAGTCAGATCGAATGATCCTATGACCTTTCGCATTCTAACATCCCATGGATTTAAGACTATGAACATTACTTAGAATTTCCAAGTGTGTGTGAGCAGAGGGGTGAGCTGGGGGGAGGCAGAGAGAGTGTGGATTCTTGCCTGAAGCTGCCCTCCATGAAGCAGCAGCTATGTCAGCAAGCACAGGTTCCATCTGTCCAAAGCGATTACCTTTTCCCCTCCCCTGTGGACGCTGGCCCTCCTGCCTTTGTTTCTACTGAGACTTCTGTTAAGGACAAGCCAATCAAAATGGAGTCACTTATGCCAAGCTTCTCATTACCAAACTAAGACTTAATTATGGTTTGGGTCTCCCAGAAATAGAATCCTAGCCCAGCCACCCAGGCATCGTCTGATCAGCATGTAGTTAGGTAAACTGCCTGATAGACCCACATCATCCCCCAAAGGGAGGTAACCTTGTGATAACCAACCTGCTTTTTCGCCTAATGTAACTTCCTTGCTCCTCCTCCCTTCTGCTCATAAAGGTCTTTCATTTTGTACAGTTCCTTGGAGCTCTTTTCTGTCTGCTGGATTGGACGCTGCCCAATTTTAATTGATTTTTGTTCAGACTCTTAAAACGTTTCGTATGCCTCAGTTTACCTTTCAGTGCTTCCCACCAAGGCTCCCTCCTCCTTGCTGTCCCTGAACTCCAGTTAGCAAGGCCCCCTGGAGCACCCCGCCCCACCCTCCCAACACAGATTTTCTCTGCTGTATGTTTAGCCCGTTTAGAGTTGTGCATGTCGTACTGGAAATCGGACCCTCTCTTTTGTTTAAAAACTCAGCAGCACTTCCCCCTGCTTCAAATATCCACACTGATGGTAAATTGGGACTTCTGTCTTCTAGAGAGTCCTTTGGAGCTACCGAGTTTTGGAAATCCACTGATTCTGCGTTTGCGTATGTGTGTTAGTGAACATTCAAGCATCTCATCTATGTAAGTAAAAGAAGAACATCTGTTTTCCTTTCCTAACTAGTATTGATCATAGATTTTTCAAGAGTTTTACCGCTGAGTGTTCCTTGGTATCTGATCCCAGCATGTATTACAGAGCCACCTCCTGGCCAAAGGAAGGAAGGAAGGAAGGGAGGAAGGAAAGAAGGAAAAAAGGGAGAGGAAGGAGGGAGGAAAGAGAGAAAGGGAGGGAGGAGAGGAAGAAAGGGAGGGGAAGGGCCACCTGCGGGAACAAAAGAGTTTTCCTAGGGTTCCTGCAGCCCTGACCATTACCTGAGACTTCAAGGCAGTAGGGCAGTTTCTCCTGAGGCTCTGGACCTCAGTCTTTAGCAGGAGCCCACGTCATGGGCTCGGGTGAAAAAGGCCCATCAGGACACATGACTTGGTCCTGAGCGATACAGCAGCTCAGGGGAGCCTGAGAGACTCTCTTCCCACGGGTCACAGAGGTTGTCTCATTTTTAACCCCACGTCCAGAAACTGTCACCTGCTGCACTTGTCGGACCAAAATAAATCTTTCACTCCTTGGTCCACTCATATTAACACATCACGAGTCTGCCTGAGGCAGAACTGTGGGTTGGAGAGATAATTATGCAATTAGGAAAACTAGAGACGAGAGATATGTAACTGCTTGTAAAAGAGTAACAACAGAGTGCAGTGGACTCGGGTTCTGATCAGTGCTCCCCAGGCCTGGCTCTGCTGCTCCGAGGAAGAGGGGGCTTGGAGCCAAGCTGCCTCCTCTGGGTCTTAGCTTTCTCACGCTGACAGTGACTGATAAAATCTCCAGCATCCCCTTCATATTTTTAATGCTGAGTCTCTGAGTAGTCAGTCTTCTTCCCCCGTTTTTATGTGTTCCTCTGCTGCTCAGCTCATGCTACATGCACCCTACACACACACAGACACACACACACCCCTTCTCAACAATGTCCAGTGGTGGCAAAATCTTTCTCTCCATTAACATGGGACCTATGTAGCCAAGGAACCTCTGACCATATCCTGCGTTCTTCCAGGTAGAAATGAATGCCAGAGATTTTCACCAAGTAAATACATTTCTATGATGGGATAATAATTAACTTCTCAGATGACATCAGATTAAGTTCTTCACTCTTTGGGAAAGCTTTTGACAACGTAAGCTAAATATTAGACATCTTAGCCAGCAATGGAGGCTCTTGTGGGAAATAGTTGTAAGGAGACAGGGGAGCTGCAGGATACCTGGTACCACCTATTTGCAGAACACTGGGCCTAAATGAGATCTCGTATTTCCTGTTATTTACAGGTGAAGGGGCTAAGGACCAGATGTGACATCACCAGCCAGAGGCACACTCAGGACTGACGTCCCTGTCTTCTACCTGGGCTTGTATTTTTTTCACCCTAGTCTTCACTCCTCACCTTCTCCCTATGGGAGTCCGCTGACATGATGGTCACATGGGTTCTGAGGCCACTGACCTGAGCTGGAAAGATGCGTCAGCCCCTGAGTGATGTCTTCCTTCCCCAGGAGCAAAGCATGGGCACAGCTCAAAAGGGGCACACGTGCAGCAGGCCAGAAGATCAGGTCTTCTCAGGAGTAAACCTTTGAACCTTAATGACAAGAAAAGTGCCACTTTAATGTGGAAATTCGCCTTCCTTTGGTCTCAGGACAGCCCCTGACGCAGAGCAGG